CCCTGATGTCAGAGTTCTTCAACATCCTCCCCAGTTCATACATTTACCAATTCATTCACTCACTTCATTCAATTATTGGTGCTTGTTATATAAAATAAAATAAAAACTTCAAAGAGTTCCCATAAGCACTGGAGCATATTCCTAGAAATGTTTCTATATCGTAACCTGAGAGAATGTCGATCTACATGGTGTGAAAATGACTAGGGCCATGATTTAACTTGCTCTTTTTTTTCAATAATTCCCTTTTGTTTTTCTCTGATACTTCCTTTCTTTCCTGAGCCTCTTTAGAGCAACACTTACAGGACTGCCTTTGTAAATCCTTATTCCTGTCCCAGAAAATGTAATCCCAAAGTCTCCAGTATCCACTGGCTTTTTTCAGCGTGGGAGCTTTCCCCTTGACCTCCCATAGACCATTGGAAAGGGCCCCAGGCCTCTGTTCTAATACCTGGCTTGTCACTAACTGGTGTGTGGCTTTGGCCTGTCCCTTGGTCTCTGTGGGTCTGCTGCATCCTCATCTGTCAAAGGTGGAACTGGCTTAGCTGAGCTCTGAGGTCCATGTAGACGTGGCCCTTCACGTCCTCATTATGTCAACTGGACATCAACTTAACAGAGGACTTCCCTGCAAAATGTCCTCTTCTTCCTACAACAGGCTGCTTCTGTATAGGCATATTTCATGCTGAGTACTCTTTTCTGCTGAGACAAAGTGATTTGGAGTGTCACCTGGCCCCTGAAGAGGGAATGGTTGGATCCAGCCACCCAGTGTGCAGTGAATTGGAGCAGAGATCTCAGCACACGGGGCGGTGGGGAGGCTCCCCCTAACCTGGGGCACCTGTTGTTCCTCCAGACCGCAGCGCATGCTCTTAGCTCCTCCTCTTACCTGGCTCTCACCACACTCCTGGCTTTAGTCACCACGTCGCTCTCACTCCAGCTTCAGGTAGCCATCAGCAGGGCCTGGCAATATCCACTGGTTTGGTTTGTTTTATCTTTGTCTGCAGGGGAAATCCCTATGGGCTCTGCAGTGCTCTTCAGCCTTGTGACCCTTGCCTTCCAGGAACCATGCAAGAAGCGCAGCCACCAAAGGTCCTTAAAACAGCAGGAAGGGTGGGCCTGTCCCCTTCTGTGCAGCTGCCTATCTGGGCCTCATTCCTCCAAGTCCACTGGAGGGTCCAGAAGAGGGAGTCAGAGGTGTGTCCTGGTGGAGCGAGAAGAAAGGCAGAAAGCTTTTCTGACAGCTATGGAATACCGTTAGCCAAGGCCCACTTGGTCCAGCACCAAGCAAAAGATGTGTACTTTGCGTAAAGGTTTTGTGAGACTGCTTCTCAACAGCCCCAGCAGCATGGGAACTAGCAACAGCACACTTCTTGCCTCATCAGCTGCCCTGAGATGGAAAACTCAGTGGAGATAGGACGCTGATTCTGATGAATGAAGCATGTGGTCCCAATGCTGGAGCTCCTCTGGCAGGTTCTAAAAGCACAATACTGAACAGCGGTGCCCTGCTGGACAGTACTGGTGGGGACTCAGTGAGCGCTATTCACATATCCACACCTGACCCTGTTGGGTCGAGTCAGGCTGGGCTTTGGTCTGCACTGTGGCATCTGCGTTCTTTGAGTTCACATCATGAATGTGGTGACTTCCCAGATACCATCTCAGGCTTAACCTAGCATGTCTTCTTTCTTTTCTTCTGATATCCAAATTGGACTGACCTCACTTCAAACATGCTGTCCCATTTTGTCATCCTAACTTACCTCAGGGAAACCGGGGACTGATGGCCAGACCAATTCTGTTGAAATTCTTGCATAGAGCAAACTTGTGCTCATATTTAAGTGGCATGGGAGAGGCCACCAGCCATAGTAAAGCCCAGTCTGTGTCTTCAGTGCTGATTCAATGTGTTTGTGTGTATAAATGCGTGATACAGATTTATATATGTTGCTATCGCCATGTGTTGAAGGCATAACTGGTGGACAGGGTGGGAGAGAGAAAATGGAAGTCTTTTCGGTGATTATTAAAGCAAAATGCATATAAAGAAATAAATACTTTTTCTTTCACTGCTTTGTTTCCTATTCCTGCACCAATCCCTTGACAGTATAAAGAACTGGAAAGAGAAAATGGGAAAGATAATCTGTGTTTAAGAAGCGCATAGTCTAATGCTTGAACTCTAAAAGATTAAGGTTTTTCCTCTTTGCCATTTTGTAAGAATCCCTGAAAATATGAAAGAATGGTTCTTAAACTTGGTGTACCTAAGAAGCAGCTGTGGAGATGACAGGAGCTACACACTGGTCTCCAACCCCAGGAGATTTAGGTGGTGTGGGCTCTAGAATCTGCCTTTTTATAGTATAAGCACCACAGGTGATTTTAGTACATGAGGGCTGCAGATCACACTTTAAAAAAACAGTGTTCTGTCACATTGAATAAAAACTAAAAATACATCTAAGACCCTTGAGTCCAAAAGTATGTCATTCCATCAACATTGATATCAAAATTTTAAAATGCTTCTTGGGGAAAGTTCTTAGCTACATGCTTTTGATTCCCAATATTAAAATAAAGCTATCACTTCACAATTATTTACTAGAAACATTAAAAAAATAAAAGCAGGTGGGAGGTGGAGTAAGATCATAGAATACAACTCTCCAGCAATGGTCTCCCTGAAGGAACATCAGATGGAACAACTCTCCATGCAAGAAAACACTTTCACAAGAGCTAAGTAATCAGGTGAGAGATCAGAGCACCTGGTTTTAAGCTAGTAACAAGATGCATTGAAGAAGGGTGGAAGGATGATCTTGCATTGCTTCTGGCACCTCTTCCCCCAACTGCAGGAAATGCATCTTTGAGAGAGAATATAATGGCTTGGAGACAAGGAGGAAACTCAGTACCAGTCTTGTCATAGAGAAACACAGCCCTGAACAGAACCCAACAGCACTTGATTCCAGGCTGATATCTACAGAAGCAGCATTTAGACCCACCCTACACAAGGGAATCAGCTGCCCCAGGAAGAAGAACCCACCAAAGTTCTGGTTGACTTTATCACTAGAAATTAATTGGGCTTCAAATAAATGTCAGGGGCAGGCAGGCTGCAGTGACCACAACACTCCTTGGGCAAACCCTGATGTTGCATAGATCTGGAAGATGCTGGACTTGAGGTCACAGCCAGTATGACAGCAGCAGCTGCAGCAGCTATGGGAATGCTTGCATCACCCCTCCCCATACTCCAGGCAGTGTAGCCTACAGAGAGATTCCTTTTGCTTGGTGGAAATAAAGGAAAGTAAGCTAGAGGCTTTACCTGGGAACCCAGAGAACAATTCCTGATCTTCCCCAAGTCCAACAGTGCTGGGGACCTGGGAACCTGTAAGGATTGCAGTGTACCTGGGCCTAGGGTGTCCCGTAGTCCAAAAATGGCTATAGTGACCACTGGCTTGGGGAACTCATCAGCACACTTTGAATTCTTGGGAGTCCCTCTGAAGGACAGGTACAAACAAGACCTAACTGCAAATGCTGGAATAAATACCTTATCCTTCAATGCCCAGATATTGGCAAATATCAGCAGTATCAAGTACATTTAAGTTAATGTGACCTCACCAAATAGACCAGATAAGCCACCAGTGACCAACCCTGGAGCGATGGAGATATGTAATTTCTCAGGAAATTTAGAATAACTATTTTGAGAAAGCTCAATGAACTTCAAGAAAACAGAAACAATTCAAAATTATATCAGAAAAATTTAACAAGGATACTGAAGTAATAGAAAATATCAAACACATCCTGGAGCTGGAAAATGCATTAGTGAGTCTCAGTAGAATTGATTAAGCAGAAGAAAGAATTAGTGAGCATTAAAACAAGCTATTTGAAAATACAGTCAGAGGAGAAAAAAGAAAAGAATAATGAGAAGGAACACAGAATGCTTACGAGATCAAGAAGAGGGCTTCAAAAGAGAAAATCAAAGATTCATTGGCCTTAAATAGGGGGTTGAGAAGGAGCAAAGAGTAGAAATCTTCTTCAAAGACATAATATTAACAACAGAAAACTTTCTAAACCTAGAGAAAGATATAATATTGAGGCACATCGTGGAAGACAGTGTGGCGACGCCTCAAGAATCTAGAAACAGAAATACCATTTGACCCAGCAATCCCATGATTGGGTACCTACCCAAAGGATTATAAAACATTCTATTATAAAGACACACGCACACGTATGTTTGCTGTAGCACTGCTTACAATAGCAAAGACTTGGAACCAAACCAAATGTCCATCAAAGATAGACTGGATAAAGAAGATGTGGCACATATACACCATGGAATACTATGCAGCCATTAAAAAATGATGAGTTCATGTCCTTTGCAGGGACATGGATGAAACTGGAAACCATCTTTCTCAGCAGACTGACACAGGAACAGAAATCCAAACACCGCATCTTCTCACTCATAAGTGCGTGTTGAACAATGAGAACACACAGACACAGGGAGGGGAACATCACACACTGGGGCCTGTCAGGGGGTCAGGGAGCTAGAGGAGGGATAACAGGGGGTGGGGAGACTGGGGAGAGATAGCATTAGGAGAAATACCTAATGTAGGTGAAGGGGGGGTGGTGGAGGCAGCAAACCAAATGGCATGTGTATACCTGTGTAACAATCCTGCAAGAGCTGCACGTGTACCCCGGAACTTAAAGTAAAATAAA